TTGGACACCCTCAGGCACTGAATTGCTCTCTAGACTCCATCACCTGTATTGGCCAGGTAGGGTGCTTAAAACATCCCAAATGACGTGACACCGCAGTGTGGGCAACTGAATCAAGGTGTATACGTCTGACACTAGTGGCAGTTTACGTAGATCGATATGGACTGAGATGACTTACAGCGTTCTGTCTGATGTCCAACTGCCATTCTCAAAATGCACAAGTCTCCAATAGGTTCTATGCTATATCTGCGTGCCTGCAAGGTTGTCTTTGGTATCTAAGGACATCTAAAAGGACGTTAGATGTCTATGTTTTGGTGTCTTGATCCCACCTTACATTTACACACAGACACCTATATTTAGGTGGCAAAATGCTAGTGTCTTATCTTTAACTGAGTCCCAACAACATGGTTTTGGGGCATATTTAGAATGGGTCCAAAATGCTCTGTAAGCGTCTGCAGTTATGGGCATACACACTTTAATCTAGTTGAGTTTTTAATTTGATTCTGCTGGGTTTTCTCAAATGAAAATGAAAATCTTTGCACTGATTTTTTTTAAAGTTATCTTTTGCTGCCCATCTGAAAGGTATTATATTTAGTGCGTTTCACTTCTTGTTGCATTTAGCCATTGGGAGTCAAATTCACGCTAGCTGGAGGTTGAGAAGTTAGGTGGCGAAGGTAGTCATCTAGTCTCCCTCTAAGGTAGTCATCTAGTCTCCCTCTATGGTCAGTGAAGTGAGATCAGCACCCTAAGAAATTCATTTAATTTAAAAGAGGCACCTAAAACTAGGGAACGGATCATCTTTTGGGGGTGCCTGTTTTCTCTCTGTTGACTACAGAGAAAGCCAAATGCATCTGCATCGGAATTAGAAAAAGTAAGTGAGGCAATATCCAGCCTGTCACTGGAAGACGGATTAGGATGATGACATTTCTCTGCTTTAGGCAGTGTCTTCTGAAGTTTCTAGTGATGTACACCATTAGGCCCATAAAAATGGCTAAAGAAGCATTTGGAGGTTAATTGTTCCTTTTTTCAGACTCGCCTTGATTTTTTTCCATTGTTCCTGTTGATTTGGTATTGCCAAGCAGCAGAGTCAAAGCATTACATACTTGCACCATCACTAGAAATGCTCATTAAGAGAGATGCCAAGTGGGAGTCTATTTGCTTGTGTATGGAATAAATGATGGAACAAGGGAGAAATAGAGTAAAACACAACAAAGGCATCGTTAGCCCCAGAGCATCCAGTCAGAAGCATGCAGGTAGTTTTACAGAGAATTGGAGTGTACATAAAGCATTTGGGAAGAGAAGACAGCTCAGAAGAGATTGCATTTCTGTCTGTGACTCACTAAATGGGAAGGAGGAAGGAAACAGTGAAGCTTATCCTGAAATCGTCATAAGGTAAGCATGCCTTTCAGTTCCTGGTTGGCTTGTTTCATTATCTGCAGCCACTAGGAATGTGATTCACCTTTCTTTCCTTTACATAGTCTTAGACTTCAGAGGAGTATACAGGGAACAGAAGGGTAGCAACTGTGATGACATTTTTTAATTGAAAAACCTGTTTGATGGGAGACCAGTGAAGAACATACTAAGAAGTCTGTCTTAACGAAGAAGAGCATTCCTGAGGCACACAAATAGGTATGATACATTGGGAAAAAATCAATATGGATTTTCTAAAGACTTGAGTTTCTTGAAGTTGTAAACAAACAGGTGGATAAAACAAATCTGGTTATTACGTTCTATTTGGATTTCCCCAGAGCTTTTCATAGAAATGAAACCATCCTATAATAAACGGAAAGAGCCTTAATTTCATTTAAAAAGAATAAAACCAAAAAATCAAACATGTGAAACAGCAGTAAATGAACACTCATCACATGAGAAAGACTTCACTAGACAAATTCACGGACTCCTATGTCCAAGTTTATTGTATTCAAGATACTCATAAATATTCCTGAATGATCTGGAAGATGAATGAGTAGGTGAACTCAGCTGTGGAGACCTCCAGAAAGACTGGATTGCTTGAGTCACTAAGTTTGATAAGATGGCAGGTGGAATTTGATAAAGTCAACTCGGAAGTGTTGCATCTGAGGAGAAGTAATGATCCTAGGGAAATGACCTGCTCTCCGTACGCTAAGAATAGGATTGATAACATCTCCAATGACTATGATAAGAACGTAGACAAGTACCTCACATGACAATACATATTTTAAAAACAATCTGTGTTGACTCCTACACTTTTTTTTTTAACATACAAAAGCATACAAAACCTTGGTGCAATGAATCCTATCTGCATCTAAGTGATCTGTCAGACATCGAAGGAATCTTCCATGTGTACAACAGAATGAGGGTCTCTCAAATTTTAAAAGTCAAATTAAATTACTGTGGATACCTTGGGATAAGCCTCACCTCGTTCCATTTAGACATCTAAAAGATAAGTGTAAAAGTCTGAGCGAGCTGTCAACGGTTCCCTGTGGAGTCAATGAGACAGGGATCTCCAGAAGGCAATCCTGGAGAAGCTGAATGGCTAAAACAGAGGAACCTAGGGCCACTTGAGATGTCCAGGATTTATTTGTCTGCAATCCAGGTGCACTGCTTAAGACTGACTTCCTCAAGACTGACTTCTATAGCATGCCTGTGTCACATCTGTCAGCCACATGTAGATGTCTCTGGTACTCGAAAACATCCAGTGACCATAGACAATTATGCTTAGTTACCTGACTGTGCTGATTTTGGCCAGAATAGACTTAAATTTCTTCACAGTAGCTAGCATGGGGCTATGTTTCAGATTGGTGCTGGAAACAGTGCTGATAACACAGGGGTGTTTTCGTTACTGCTGAGCAGTGCTTACACAGAGCCAAGGCCTTTTCTTCTTCTCACCCCACCCCACCAGCGAGCAGGCTGGGGGTGCACAAGGAGCTGGGAGGGGACACAGCCGGGACAGCTGACCCCAACTGACCGAAGGGATATTCCACACCATATGACGTCGTGCTCGGCATATAAAGCTGGGGGAAGAAGAAGGAAAGGGGAGACGTTTGGAGTGATGGCGTTTGTGTTCCCAAGTCACCGTTACGCGTGATGGAGCCCTGCTTTCCTGGAGATGGCTGAACACCTGCCTGCCCATGGGAAGGAGGGAATGAATTCCTTGTTTTGCTTTGCTTGTGTGCATGGCTTTTGCTTTAGCTGTTAAACTGTCTTTATCTCAACCCACAAGTTTCTCACTTTTACCCTTCTGATTCTCTCCCCCATCCCACGGGGGGGGAGTGAGCAAGCGGCTGGGTGGTGCTTAGTTGCCAGCTGGGGTTAAACCGTGACACTGACTGATGTAATTCAGATCATCTGAAGATACCCATCTGCCTACCCATCTAACACAGGACCTGCTTCTGCCCACTGGTTATGCAGGCAGACTAAGGCCAACCTCTCTGACTTAGAAGTCTAAATCACAGATTATTTTTGTACTTAGAAGAAAACAAGGGATTGTAATTCCAAATTTATGCTCAGATTTGAGTGTTTTATGTTCACAATTGAGTTGTCTGATTCCTTTGGACCTTAGTTAGTAATCTAAATTTTAAGTTTGCTGGACGGGTTGAATGAAGAAGACTAACCAGAGACCTCTGCAACATAATCATCTACCTTTGAGCTAGTTATTACTTGCTTTCTTACACTTAGTGGAGACTAAGCCAATAGAGTCACTGAACTTTTATGGCAAGAGACACCTGTATCCTGAAAGAGACATGTAAACTAAGTCAGACCAATCACTGCTAACAGTCTATATCTAACGTAAAAGGAAGTTTTGAATACTAATTCTGATGTAAATATCCACATTGCCAATGTCTTAAGTTAGATAAAATTAATCCTGGAGGCAGTGACAGTTTCACTGGGAGTATGGAAAAGGCCTCAAGAAGGTAGAATGACTTTCTGACTGTTAATTGCTCTAATTCTATGGTTCCCAGTCACTAGTGTATGTCCAGATACCAAAAACATGACATGCAGGTAGATCAAGCTTCTATTTCAAAAAGCTTTTAAAGTTTTTCAGATAGTTTCAGACTTAAGTTGAAAATATTAATCTTTGTAAGTTATGTAATAAAATTAATATTTTCTTTTCTTTTCCTAAACACAGATAATCTCTCTGAGGATCTCTGAACAGAAAAGGCATTTTGTTTAAGACATAAGTAGACAATTAGCAGGACTTAACTCTGCCCGCTGAACACCTTTAAAAATAGCTTCATATACCAGAAAATAAAAGCCGAACATTAAACACCCTTGTCTTTCCAAGCTGATAACAGGAGAAATAACTTTGTTACCTTTGTTACTAGCTACTTGGCCATCTAACATGGTTGCTTGATGCTCAGAAAGTTACAATAAGCTGGAGTAAATCAATATTTGACTCTTAAAGGAAAATGATATCTCAAGAGATGGAACTGAAAAGCACAAGAAAATTATATATTTTCCATTGCATTTAATGAAATCTTTGGTTGAACTTCAAAACAAATACCTGTGACTGAAGAATTTCTGCTCTCTGCACAATCATTGCAACTTGGCTTTTACAAAGCATCAAAGAAAGTTCGGTCGGTAACGTTCACTGAGAGCGTGTAGTACCAACCACAGATTTTTCTTATCTGACACGAAGGCTGTAAACCAACTTTCTTTTTTTTAATTTTATTTTTTGACATCTGAAAAATAGTTTAAAAGCAGGCTAAGTCTTTATGTTCAAAGTGTGGAACTCTGTATGGTACTTCTGATTTTAGACATGTATTTTGTGTGATCTTGATAACTTCTGGAAGGGGGATGGGTGAATCTTGACTCTGATGGGGAAGGTGATGGAGATTAGCCTCACAGACATTAAGTTAGCTGGCATAAATACCCTCCTGGGAAACCAGGATTTTTATTTGCAACCTTTCTGAGGGTTTGTATAGAAGATTCCTCTTTCTGTGTTAATTAACATACCTGCACTAAAAGTTGGTAGACTCTTCTCAAAATCTCAAAATATTTTCATGGGCTTTACTATAACTGTTATGGTCATGAGAAGAGCAGAGCAGGGCAATGAAACAGCTGTTGTGGAATTCATCATCCTCGGTTTCCAAAGTATCCCAGAAGTACAGTTTATCCTCTTCCTGTTGTTTCTAGTGACCTACATTACAACTGTGTCAGGGAACCTCCTGATCATGATGCTGGTTGTGACTGATCATCACCTTCATAACCCCATGTTTTTTTTCCTGGGGAATCTGTCATTCTTGGAGACCTGTTACACTTCCACCATCCTGCCCAGAATGCTGGCAAGTTTCCTAACAAACAAATATGTTATTTCACTTAGTGGTTGTTTTCTGCAGTACTTTTTCTTCACTGGGCTAGCAGGTGCAGAATGTTGTCTCCTGACTGTCATGTCTTATGACCGGTACATTGCGATATGCAAACCATTGCATTACACAGCCATAATGAATGGCAGGTGCTGCCTCCAGTTAGCAGGTGGATCTTGGGCAAATGGGTTGTTGGCTAGTGCCATAGTCACCTCTCTGATGCAACAGCTAACTTTCTGTGGCCCAAATGAAATTGATCATTTCTTCTGTGACTTCATGCCGGTGGTAAAGCTCTCCTGCAGTGATACCCACTGGATTGAGCTTGTAACGTTCATCTTGGCCTCCCTTTTGACACTACCTCCATTTCTCTTGACACTCATATCTTATGTGTACATCAGCAACACTGTCCTCAGGATCCCATCCTCCACAGGAAGGCATAAGGCTTTTTCTACCTGTTCTTCCCATCTCACTGTGGTGACACTTTTCTATGGGACCCTGATTGTTGTGTACTTGGTGCCAAAACCAAACACACTGGGAGACCTCAGCAAAGTGTTCTCTGTCTGCTACACAGTTCTGACTCCACTGGTCAATCCCGTCATCTACAGCTTAAGAAATAACAACATAAAGAAGGCTTTGAGAACTGCTGTGAACAAATACAGGGGGTTTGATAAGGCGTGAACAAGGTCTTGTCAATTATTAAGTGAAACTGAAAGATCAGCCTTATGAAAACTATGCATCGGAACATAAGGTAGTCTTTTTCCCTGGAAAGGAGACAAAGCTTCCAACATCCTGAGAGTGCCGTGTAAGCAAGTGCCCTAGCTGCTGGGCTGTTAGGGCAATTTCTTTCCTTGGACTAATTAATGCTTAAGCATTTCTACTAAAGAACCCAACATCCTTATAGGAGAGAAATAGCATAGGTGTCTCCAGTATTTCTGTGCTTGCCAAGTGTTTGGATTTATATCGACATCCAAGCTCTCTGATTTTCAGAACTGCTTTCAAGATGGCTCATTGTCTGGTCTAGAAGCATGAAAAATGATCTAAAAGTGAGAGGAGAGTTATGAATACATTTAGCTCTGCCCCTGCTGACAATATGGGCCCAGATTGCAAATACAGAAGCTATAAATGTAATCTCTACTGATCAGGTAAGTACAGCCTATGAGGTATGTGCCTTTTTGAACCAGCAGACCAGATGGGTTTCTGAAAAGCATCTCAACAGCACTACATGCCTGTCAGTGGGCAAATGATTTGATTCCCCTGAACTGAGATTCCAAAACACACACTGGTGTGGTTTCGTGTGCACTGTTTCCTAGACTTTTATTTCAGTTGTGACTAGAGCTAAGGAAATGTAGTTGTGTGGTAGAAGGATGAATTTCAAGTTTGTCCTTTAGTTATAACTCTGGTGTATCTTTGAGCAAACCTGTTCTACTGAGTCATTAATTTCCTGGGTGGTCCAGGAACTGCCCTGCCAGTCTCAGCATAGATGAGACAATGGCCTGACCTGGGACATGGCACTAAACCTAGACTAATTGATAGGCTCTATTCATATATTTCAATGTGCTGGTTCACATCCTGGATTGAGAATCTCTCTGTCCCAGAGACTTCTCCCGGCAGTTCCTACCAAAGAATAGATGGGTTTCTACATCGGTAAAACACCTGGAAATCACAGAGGAAGGAATGGTCCCAAAGTACAGACATTTGAACATAGGATAGGAAATGTTTTGTGCACAGCTAAGATGACAAATAGCAGTGTATCATGTATGTGCTGGAGTGGTCAAAGAGGGCCATAGACCAGCTCGACAGAAAAATTGAGGAGAAAAACATTTTGGGGAGTCTCATCCTATCCACCTGAAGATGCTGCTGCAAAGACTCTTGCAACAAAGAGTCCCATCACCATCTGGACAGGGACCAAGCATCCTTTCTGGGAGATTTTGAATCACCTTGTGAGCATTAACCTTTGCAAAGACCCCAATAAATTATTGATACTATTTAATAAACACTCTGTGACCATCTCTGCAACATAATCAGTGGAGGACGTCCTGGGTCTGGCTGGGATGGAGTTAACTTTCTTCAGCCCATACAATGCTGTGCTTTGAATTTGTGGCTAAAACAGTGTTGATAACTGTGTATTAGATTTATGCGGCAAGGTTAGGGGCAAGGAGGTAGATGAGGTGGCAGGAGTGGCCTCTGTGAGAAAAGGTCAGGTGCTGCCCCTGTGCTGGACACAGACAGTTCCAGCCAGCTCCAAAACAGACCCATGGCAAGGAACATCTGAGACCATTAGCCAAGCTGGTGGTGCCTCTGAGAAAACACGGGTAAGAGCAGAAAACCTCAGACAGGCAGAGGAGGAGGGGAAAAAAGAGAGTGAGAAACAACCCTGTGAGCACCACAGCCAGAGGAAAAGGAGGGATGGGAGCAGGTATTTCCCTTCATCCCATGGAGGACCACACGCCAGAGCAGCGTGATGTCTCCTGAAGGAATTGCAGGCCATGGGAAGGACCCCACTGGAGAAGGAGAAAAGCTGAGGAGGAAGGAGTAGCAGAAAAGAACTGTTACGTACTGACCATAACACCCCCAGCCTCCACACCCCCTGCACTGCTTGGGGCAGTGGTCAGAGTAAGGTAGAAGCGTCAGGAGTAATGGAGTGAAGTTGAGCCTGGAAAAAGTTGTTTTGAAATTCAATTATTTTAATTGGCAGTAAATGAAATTAATTTTCCCCAAGTGTAGCCTCTTTTGCCCATGACAGTGTTAATGTAAGTGATCTCCCTGACTTTATCTTGACCCATGAGATTTTCATTCCATTTTCTCCCCCTGTGCTGTTGAGGAGGGGGAATGAGGGAGTAACTGGGTGGGAGTTTGGCCCTTAACCAACATGCATGCACCACAATAACACACCAACATTCTGGCTCTTACTGAACAGCACTTGCACAGCATCAAGGCTTTCTCTCTTCCCCACCCCCACCCCCATGCACACAGAGAGTAGGCTGGAGGTGGGCAATAGCTTGGGAGGGCCCATAGCCCTCCAACTGACCAAAGGGATATTCCATGCCACATGACATCATGCTCAGCAGTAAAAGCTCAGGGAATGGAGCAGGAAGGGGAAACATTTTTGGTTACAGCATTTGTGTTCCCAAGCAACTGTTACACATGCTGATGCTCTGTTTTCCAGGCATTGACTGGACATCTGCCTGCTGATGGGAGGTAATAAAAGAATTTTGCTTTGCTTGCACACACAGCTTGTGGTTTTCCTATTAAACTGTCATCACCTCAATCCATGAATCTTCTCCCCTTCCTTCCATCTTTCTCGCCCTGGAGAAGGGATTGAGAGAGAGGCTGCATGGGTGTTTGTCTGCTGGCTGAGTCAGCCTCCACAGAGCATTAATTGACACAGTCAGTGGAGTCTGGAGAGTAAACCAGCTCACTCAGAAGTGGACCCTCACTTGGTCGGCTGAGGTGATCTTTATCCACGGCTGAATGTATTGACTAAGGGTTCAATTCAGTCACCCACATGTACATATCTGTTGCCACCTGATACGTCCTAGGATGTCTCCTCTGGTGTCCAACTGTACCTCCAAAAGGGAACAGGTCTACCTCGTACTCTTTCCATCACCACAGGCAAGAAATTGACTTTTCTAGAACATGTTCACAATGAGGTAAAGACTTTAGTTGCTAGATCTGCGCATCAGCGGACGTCTTCAAATCTATAAAATGACATTTCAGCAAAACAAGTCAAATTTCCTAAGCCTTCATTCCTTTTGCATACAAACAGAAATGGGGTTGAGAGAGAGGCAAGCTAGAGAGAGATTATTTTGATTTATGTCATGTATGAGGATTTAAAAAAAACCAAAGAAAGCCCTGGAAAAAAATATCAATTTTATAGACAGAACTATATGAGTTAGTAGTTAGTTTTCCTCCTTGTATTTGTTGAGATTAGTTCTAGAGATGCAGAGATTAAACAGGAACCGTCCACATGTTCCTCTTGGAAGCCATATTCACCAGGACCCTGAAGGCACAGTGGTGCTCTAATTTTCCTCACCAGTGCCATCTGGGATCTCCACCTGTGCATCCTTCTGTCCATAGGTCTACCAGCTCCAAATAAGCTCAGGCCCAGACTTCTCCCTGCCACACACACACACACACACACACACGCCTGAGCTGTGTCATAGGTAAGCCTATGCTCAGCCCTGTCCCCTGCTGTTCCTGACTTGTTTCAAGGCCTCCTGAAAGGAGGAAGCTACATGACAGCAACCATGCAATCATCTTACTATACATAATAACATCCACTGAGATACCTCTATGATTAGAAAACTTCTCCATCAAAGTTTCTACATAAAGATTCATTGCATTCCAAATATGTGCTTTTTAGAAAGTTTCTAAAAATTCAGTTCAGTAGATATAATCAGAGTATCAGATCGTGAGCAAGTTTGGATTAATCCTTCCAGCCCTACTTTTGAGACTAAAAGTTACTTACACGGTAGAATCCATTTATTTTGATACAAATACTTAATTAAGGAATTACATAGTTTTTTCTATCCACTGTGGGAAAAATTTATAGGAGCTAGTGACATGCTAGTGGCAAAGCCATTAAAATGTTAATGAAAGCACACTTGGTTAAGAGGTTTTCTGAAAGGCAGCTCTTACTTTACATAGTAGAAAGGTTTGTTGCCTTTCTGGACAAGACAATTTCCTTGCAATTCTGTCATAGAACCTTGGTTCATTTTCCACCAAAAATGGAGAATTGTGTCTTGTGCAGCACAGGCGATGAAGTATTTCAGATGGCTTCTGGTAGCGTCACTGTGCTTCCAAAGTTATTACATTTACTACTGTATCTCTTAGTTAAAAAAGGAAGCAGGTTCTCAGCTCTTGGTAGCTTGGTAGCACCATCTTGCTGTGGCTTGTCTATTCCTGAATTTCTTCAGGAACAAAGATTTCAGATGAGCACTTCTTGCTTAACTCCATCGAAGTCTTACTTGTTTGGGAATATGTGTGTCTTCATGTGAATATTAAGTGTATTCTGAGAAACAATACTGACTGTACTTTACACCCCTAACCCTCATTTAACATAGAAAGGAATTTAGGCAACGTTTTCCATGAAGTTTCACTTGTTCACTCTCTTCTGTTTGGTTAAGATTGTAATAAATAATAAATAAATGACATAGTGGATAGAAGTTTCTAATATTTCCAGTGTGCTGTAGTATACAGGAGAATTGTCTCTTAGAAGTGGCTCAGACATCAGATGCATATAGGCCCTGCATTTCGGACATATCCATGCCATGGCTAACAAGGAGGAGAGATTATTTCTCCTGAAATGGAAGCGCATGCCTAAGGGGTTTTGCAGAACTGTCCTTGGGCTGAGACTGCTAAGGACCTTGCTGGTCTAGGAGATAGGTTTGACTCTCTGCAGATGGCCTCACATTGACTGGAGAAGTTCCGCAAGTGAGCTGAAGGGCAAGACCAGATCTGAAAATGACCTTGGCAAATTGGAGCAAAACAGTCTTATTTGTTCTCCATGAACACTGTGAGGAAGAGATAAGAGACGATCTCAAATGGCAGGACTGACGTTAGAACAACCTTTCTGAGAAGAGGGATAGTGAATCACTGGCACAGACTGATGAGGACTCTTCTGCTCTTCCAGGCACTGCAGTTTTTCACTGTATCATTCAGCTTCCTAACAGGATCCC